CGAATATGAAAATCTAACCTTAATTTAGAAATTACCGGCAATACAAAATCCGGCCACCTAATTGTTAACCTTAGCCAATGTGAACTGACCCAATGGCTGGTCACTAGTCATTTGATTCATTTGGGTCTTATTCAGAGCTACTAATAATATACTGTATCTATAATGCTCGATATAAAAATACATGTCATGTCTTATTATAGTCTGAATCGTTTATAGTTTAAAAATTATCTACAAAGTAGGCCTTGAAGCAGCTTTAGATTAATTTGAAATTTTTAACCACCTAGTTCGATTTAAAATTTCATTTAACTTAGATTTATTTAAAGTCCAATTAAATGAACTCTAATTTATATGTCGATATACAACAATATTATTACCTAAAAGTCTTACAATGAATAAACAACAGATGTAAAATCATATAATTTGAGTTGACACAGGTAGCTTAGGTAATTCTCTATTATAATATTCATAATAACTATTATCTGACTTCTGTTTAATAGAGTCTAAAAGTTTAGTGTTAACAATATTATCTTTAAATAATAAGCTATTAGTTTCTAGAAGCTTAATTCTTTGTTCAAGAGAAAGTTTCTCTAGATTCCTGAGCCTTTCTTGAATTGATCCCTCATTAAGTTCTGTATAAGATAAAGGATTCTCTATAAATTGAGCTAGATTTTCTTCGGTTTTTTCACGTAGCCCAAAGCAACAACACCAACTATGTACAAAACCCCATGGTCTGATTAAAATTGATCCTAAAATTTTTATCACACGTAAATTACATAAATGGTATTATAAAATAACTTATCAAAAAAAAAACTTACCAAATAAAAATGTATAAAAACAAATCATAGCAAAATAAAGACCGCCAATGATTCCAAACATACTTATAATCTAATTGAGCGAAATAAATATGAGTTGTGTATAGTGTCTCAAATAAAAGCTTGTATAAAAAAATCAAATCTTACAGATTTATTCCTATTATTTGTAAATTATGATTAACAATGTTAACATTGATATGTTAATAAAAATAATTAAATTTACTTATTTAAATATATTTAATTTTTTTTACCTTTGCTCTGTTTCTTCTTCTACAATGGTGGTTTGTGGAGAAATCAATATTGTTGCATAATAGTTTGCCGAATTATTGGTAAAAGAATCTGTAGTTTTAATTAAAAGCATCAACATTTACAGTAAAGAATTTAAATATACATTTATTAATAAAATAATGCCGAAGAACTTTTTAAGCAAATCTTCTTACCCATAAATCCTTCAATATAAGGTATCTGGTTGTAAGTTGATCTAAGACCAATATATTGATTGAAGCCATTTAAGTTTTGCATATTCCTTATCTTCTTACGAAATGTGAATGTATAAACCTGCCGATTTTTTTATTAATTATTATAAATTTGTTATATAATAATATAATAATAAAGTAATACGCACATTATTTGGTGTTATGTAATAATCATTCATATTTGAAATTGATTGAACAAATGGTTCATTATAGGGAAATTCATTCGGATATTTACTACTAAGGGGATTATAACCTAATATACTTATACATTATCAGTTATTACACCAAGTTGCAACTAAAAAAAAAAATATTTAAAAATAAACTTACCTGGATCAAATAGGAACATAGTTGGGCGAATACTAGAGACATTTGGTTTTGAATTATTGGCAGACTTAGAAGTTATAAGAAATCCTATTGAGTTATTAATATTAATTTGGCTAATTGGGTCACTTGCTATAAATGGTATATAGGTAAAACCGTCAATAGTAATAGATTTTTGAAAAGAATCATCACAGCTACTACGTTCTGCAATATTTTAACCTTATTAGTTTATATATAATAATAATAAATAATAATAATAATAATAATAATAAATAATAATAACAATAATAATAATAATAATTCTTACGATTGTTACTTGTAGTGAAGAAGGTACAACTGATACTAAAGTTTCCATCAGACATAAAGTAGATGCCTACATTGATTTGGGATCAAAAGTTAGAATATCGTTTAATTACAGAAGGTTTTAATAATATTCTTTACCCGGTGTTGATATTTTGTCGTGATAATTCTGAGTAATTTTGATACTTGGCAAATCATCGCGTATTTCAATGCATAATAATACAAATAATATAAATAGCAATGACAATAACGTGGCAATTATGACACGCCGAAAATATAAAATTGCCAGTGGCTCAGTTTTATGCGATTTTTTAAATAAGTCATACAACATTTTTTTTTCAATACGTTAACAAAAACGAAGAAAGAAAATGTTAAATTCTATATTTACTCCAGCATCCTTGTCTTTTAATACTGTTTTTTCCTATATTACCTACTTTAACGATACGAGAGCCATTAATTTACACATACCAAACGCTTTATTATTTAATTTCTATTTCAGGCAATTGGCTAACATTATCGTTGCATTTATCACATGACAGATTATAAAGAATAACGATAATTGGTTTGTTTAACGTCAGGGGGAGAAGTTTCTCTGAAGAAGCATTAAAAGAAACACTAAATAAATAAATAAATATAAAAAAGGAGCACTAAAAAAATCATACATAAGGTTGGGATAGTATAATATACTATACCATGTAGAAATGGTATTTACACAGTATAATTCTTAACCCTATTCGTACGTCACCTTTCACATAACAGAATGTGTGGCTTCAAAAAATATTGTATTAAGAGAACATTTATTAGAAATATTTCTTCAACACAATAGAAAGTTTTTAGCTTTACATAATACTGGCAGCGTGGAACATTAAAGGATACTATATAAAGTCATGTAATAAACTTTATCCGGCAGCTTACTATGATACGTAATGTTTGCCAATAACTATATACGTATTTCCGCAATTTGTGGCAAATACAGTCGTACCTGGGTTATATCACCCCTTTGTCTCTATATGTTTTTGAATTTTTTTGGAGATATAACTAAGGTTGAGATATAACTCAATATATAAAACATATAAAAAAAAGAAATTTATTCTGTCTAAATATGGGGATATAACTAAGGTAATAAATAAGAGGGGATATAACCCAGTGGAGATATAACTAAGGTAATAAATAAGAGGGGATATAACCCAGTGGAGATATAACCCAGGTACGACTGTAGAACCCTGGGTCTCTTACATTCCTAGGAATTAGTAATCTGTGGGACTTTGGGTATTATGTGGGAAGTTTATATAAGGAGAATACTTTAAATGCAATTAAGTATTTAATAGAATTAAACGAGATTGAAAGAAAAAGATATAAAAGAAGTCATGCACTATATAAATTGCGTTTTAGATATACCCGGGTCTTTTGCAACACATACTTGATTAATCCTAGGTACAGTACAAATCGTGGGGTACACTAGCAAGGGGGACGGTATTTAGGGCGCTGACATTAATTACGTAATTTCCATTTACTATGAGGGCTCCCCCCCCCTCCGCCCCACATAAGCTTCAATATAATTGGAAAATTTAAAAAAATCAAATTTCTTTGTGTAACGTAAGATATTGATATAGTACATGCTCAACCCCCACCCTAAAAAATTACGTAATTAATGTCAGTGCCCTTACCGCTTCGCATCCAATGTTTGTGAATGTTAAAATGAAATTAATTATGGCGAACAACTTTACAAGTTAGTAATTGGGCATTATATATATAGAAGAGTATCGATATAGAATCCAATATTGTACAGTACATGTGCAAAAATGCTCTAGGATGTAAGCAAGCAGAAACACGAAAATTAATTTTTGATCTTATAATATATCAGTTGCTGTTACGTATTGACATTGTTAAGGTGTCACACATTATAATTATTAGTAAATTTATAATGATAAATTTTTCCCGAAATGTTAGATCAATTTTATCGATCGTTATATAAGAAATTTACATTTATTGTCATTCGTACAAATTTTGATTATTAGTGTAAAAACTTTCTCTGTTATAATAATAAAAAAAGTGAGTTATAAATAACAACTTAATAAGTTTTTATATCTAATTTTATACCATTAAATACGTACAATATCGATATAAACTTATTAAAGTGCGTATTGAGATTCGTGTACCTAATATTTCGACTACATTCTAAACTATGATTCATATATTTAGATTTAACAAATTATAAAAGACATTGACTAATATATTATTTTTACATTCACTATTATATTTATTAAGCATAATAGTCTCCGCCAAAAAAATTTTACCCGGTTAACCGACGAGTGAAACCGAGGGTACTACCCGGGTATAAAAATTTTACCCGTTGAAACCACGAAAAATTTCGTTTAAATATAATAATAATTTAACCATTTGTCAATCGTTTAATCATTTAACTGTTTATTATAATAACTTTTTATAAATTATATCAAAAAAAAAAATAATAAGAAATCGATGTATGTATATTAATCCACATGCTTTGGATGCACAGTGTCTTTATGTACAACTTCTAAAACTTATTGTAACTGAAAAATTAATTTTCTAGAATCATGTAATAAATTGAATTTGGTGCAACTTTTATTGCGCTTTGCAAAAAAGATGTTAAGGGTTATTTAGATTAGGTTTAAGTCACGTTAGGGGTAGATTGATTAATGTTTTCCACAGGCGTTTCTGCAGATAACAATGTCGTGTGACCTCTGCAGATCATAAAATCACGAGAAATCAGTGATTATTAGAGAATTTTAAAGATTCCGAATAAAATATAAATGTTATTGATCGAAAATTATGATTAAAAATCACTGAAATTTTTCCGCTAGGGTCACACCTTTTTGCAACCGCCATAATAGACAATTTTGAATCTCAAAAAAATTCTCCTCGATCATCTTTTTGCAAAGCGCTATAAATTTTCTTCTTGCTCATCATACACAATCGAATTCTTTACAACATTATGAATGCGTAAAATTATATTCCTACAAAAGATACTAAATCAAATATGTTACAAAATAATGAATCTACGCTTCTATTTCTGCAAAAAATATTTAAGAATTTTGCAAACCGCAAAGAAATCAGCTGATTCTAATAGATTAAATTTTAAAGGTTTCGAATAAAACATAGACGTCATTGATTGAAAACTATAATCAATAGGAAATTAAAATCTCGGAAATTTTTCCGCTATCATCACGAAATCACAGAGTTACACCTTTTACAAACCGCCATAAATTAATCGTTCAACCGTTTAGCCCATAGCTATCGAGTCTAAACCCTTTAAATATGGATTTTTCTATCCTTTATTGCAATATATACATTTCTCACATTTAACCGTTTTTATAATCGCCTATATATTTACATGATTTTTCAATATAATTATATGTTTACCGCCATAAAATTATCTGTTAGTAAGCAATGTTTACAAGAATACTTTAAATGAATTGATCAGTCTAAATTAACACAAACGAAAAGGGAGGTACTGTGTATCAGTAAAGAAACTCTTCAATATTACCTCCTTTTCATTCTCATACATGCTAAACTACCATGATTATTATTATTAAGCTGGAAGTATATAAAATTAATATGGTACATGCAATAGCCCACAGATTATGAAGCTGTCGAGATCTTAATTTATGTAATTAAGTAGAGTAAACGGTAAGAGGTCAGCGACAATCTTCTTCATTACACTATCATGTTGAATATAGACAATATGAGTACCGCATAAGCCATGGCAATTTCTGATTAATTGGGTTATCTGAAGATTGATGATGATGATTTCCGGAAATTTAACCCAGCTTTTCTATTATTGTAGATGCATATCGTTTGGAGTGAACTTAAATCATTGTTAGATGCGAATATATCATGTAGTAAATTTAAAGAACAGACAAACTGGATGACAAAAACTTTAAGCAATATAGGCACTATAAAAGAAAAAATTAAGGTACTGTATTTAAAATCTCCAATAGATCAAAGATTGTAGACCTTATTTCTATTTTTTTACAGAATGAAAATACCTCGACGCGTGGGTGTCTTTTTGCAAATTTATGTAAAGTGGATATTGAAAACTTAACCTGTAATGATCCTCTGTGTATTAGCGTAATTGATCTTGGTTCAGATAAATATCAACTTTCCAAAAATGATTATGACGTTCTTGTAGTATATATATATATACAGTATATGAAAGCTTAATTTATAAAAAAACAATAATAATAATTATATTTAATAGGGACAAAAGGCCGGCATTAGAAGATTAAACAAAGATGCATAGATTAAAAATGTGTGTGCTGATTTTGTTATAAAAAGAGAAGAGGCCCGACACCCATATAAATTTGTACTAGCATCTACAGAATGACCAATGGGTAGAGTATAACCACGTTAGAGAACTGGTAGCAAAAGGCATCATGGATGTTTTATTGCAAGAAATAAAAACCGATATACTTCGTCAGGTTTATAAAGGTTCGGAGAATACACTTGTAGGAGCATTGCTCTTCTTATAGTTGCTGTTATGTACCATTTGCCATTGGATGTGAAATTGAGGTGACCAGAGGTGAACGCCAAAGCATAGCGAGTAAAAATCGCAAAGTGAAACAGTCAGATGACGCAAGGGGAAATAGACCCGATTTAATGATCCGGCCATTTTCAGACAAAAATGAAATGAGGTTGTATATTTTGAAAGCGGAAAATGGAAGTCTACAGATAAGAAGAAACAATAAGGATGATCATAGTATAAACAATGCAGATGAACAAGAAAATGAGGATGACCTAAGAATCTTCTTAACGAGTTACAGAATTATTCTGAAAATATAATGAGATGATCATAATAAGTTAGTCCAATTATGTTTAGATGTTTATAAAGAGATCAAGAAAAAATGCGCGAAACAGCTTCTCCATAAAAGTTATATCGCATTTGGTGTCAATATAGCAGGAGAATATATTGTAATACATGGGCTAGTAAGGGAAAAGGACGTTAGATATTATCTTCCTATTGCAAGGGTGAAGATTCTTTTTAATAACGAGTCAACCAAAGATGTGGAGGAATTTATTCATTCTCTAATGGTTTTACGAGTAGGTTACCTTTTTAGTACAGTAGAAATAACAAGTCGATAAATTACTAATTAAAGAATCTCAATTTATAGATTGTGAACTTAAGAACTTAATTAACAGTTTCCAAACAAGAACTAAAAAGTAATATAAAATCCTTTGCACGAAGGCAGAAGACTAAAGAAAATAGTATACATGTAGTTTGTTTTTATTATTTTTTATTAATAATAAAGCTGGCTCTAGTAGCTCGACTTTGTATATAAATATAATCAATTTACTTTTGTATGTGTATTTTGTAAATATATTTTATATATAGAGATATGCATATGCATTATGCAAGCGATGTTGCAGATTAAAATTTAAAAATGCAAATAGAAGTTATTATGTAATTTTGATCTATATTATTTTACCAAAAATGCTTTATAGACACTTTATTTCATTGGGAAGATTATTTTAGACACATTCGCTATATAAATTTATGTGAAATCTGCTAATTCTGGTAGATTTTTCGATTCATGGAAAATTTTTAAAGATTTCGAATAAAATATAAACGTTATTGATTGAAAATTATGATCAATAGGGAATTAAAATCTCTGAAATTTTTCCGCTATCCTCATCACGAAATCACAAGGTCACACCTTTTTGCAAGCCGCCATAATGATTTATTATGTTTAACCTTTCAATAATGATACAAAAATCTGTTCGCTGTGGCAACATAATGTTGTATTATGTGATGCAAGGCCAAAAAAACTTGCATTCGAACACTACTCGGAATTAGACTGGTTAATTTAGGCCAGCTTGATAATGCCTGTGATAACATTATTTTGTCTAACTGAATTTTAAATGACGCCTGTTGGCCAATAGAATATCTTTATTTATGAGAGAAGCTAAATTATACGCAGATTATGCGTGTTTCTTTAAATTATGTAAATTGAATATTTTATGCAAATTATGCGGATATTATGCCGGATCATAATCCTGGACACTCTAGTCCCGGGTTCAAAATCTCTTGCACGTGCAGAATTTAGAGGGTGTGCTCTAAACTCTAAGTCCTAAGCTTGGGATAGTGTTCCAAATCGAAAATCGATTAATTACTCGAATTGGCAACTAATCGACTGATAATTTTATTAGACAACTAATCGATTGTCGACGTAATCGATTAGCTGATTAATCGACTATATAGTTAGTTAATCTATTAGTTGACTAATCGACTAGTTGTTTTATATGGTATCATACTCTGATCTTGTAATTAATGGCTACGCAATTACTGTATATCCAAGCCATTTCGATATACCAACCAATCGACTAGTCAATTAATCGCCAATCGATTAATCGATTTTGATTAGTTGGCTATAATCGATTTTTAATCAATTTTTTTAAAAAAATTTTGGCCAACTAATCGATTGCATTTTTTGGTCCGATTCGTAACACTAGCTTGAGACCAAACTGTTGCGTGTATTTAGTAGGGTTGGGGGCACGGTGTCCCAGGGCATGCCTCTGGGGCATGCCCCCCTGAGCATGCCTGGGGGCATGCCTCTAAGCTGAAAGGCATGCCCCTATCATGTGATTATAAGTCAGAATTATGCAAATTGATTGGCTACCTATTTTATTAAAGATGACTCAATTTTGTATAATTGTCTTGTAGAGTTTATAATTTATAATATATAGTAAGTGCACACTCTTGGGACCAAGCTTTAACAATGTACACTTAGAGATCAATAAGAGAAAAATTTATAAGGGCATGTATATATTTAGACCAGAACTTCAATACATATTTAGAGAGAGTATGTACTTATAGAGAGCACACTTACGGAGATTTATTATATATATAAGGGCATGCCCAGGCACAATAAGAAAGGGCATGCCTCAGCCCAAGGCATGCCCCCTAGGGGCATGCTCAAATTTTTTCCCGTGCCCCCAATCCTAGTATTTAGGAAGGTGTATTAAGAAATATAAAAGGGAATTTACACATTGGGACCCAAATTTGAAAATAATTATGAATGAGGGCCCAACTTAAAAATATTTATTTATAAAGATCTTTTTGAAAAGAAATATACTTAAAATAACCAGTGATAATTATTACTATCCCTAAATATTTAGGGTTAGGGTACAGTTATAGAGAATTTATATATATATATATATATATATATATAATTAGCTTAGTTTTTTATATAATATTAATAAATAAATAAATAAAATATAAGGTCTCAAATTTAGTTTTTATGAGGTTTTGAGCAGGGTTGGCATAAATGAATTTGGACAATTGTCTGATATCCAGTGTCAAATTGTCTTATCAAAGCAATAAACATTGAATAGAGTATAGATTAATCACATGAAATTGAATTATCTCATATAGTATTAAGAGAACAAAATTATACAAACCAGTATGGTTGGTATAGGTAATCAAATCTATATACTATAGTACAGGCTAATTTTTAAAATCAGTATATATATTTATATTAGTGTTAGAGTTAGAGTGGTAACAGATATTATATAATATTTTTTTACTATAGAAGTATTTTTTCTCCTCTAATATAAGCCAACTCTAATTGGATAATTTAAAAAATAGTTATAATATATTACAAATATAATTATATGGGGTCTTTGCCTTGAAAATAACCTTATAGTACATGATACCATAAGATTATTTTTAAGGCAAAGACCCATATTACTAATATATAAGAGGTGTGGCAACTTAGTGTAGTGGTCTAGTTGTTACCCTTTTCAAATAGCAGGTCTAGAGTTCAAATCTCATAGATGATGTTTTTGAAAATTAGATCTATATTACAATAACCTGATAAAGATAATCAGATTAGAAAATCTGTAACTTGAGTTATATCAGAGAGTATTTCTAAAAGATCTGCTAGCATTTGTATGATCTGAAAAAACTCAAGAACTACAAAAGAATGCGAACTAGTTTAGGGCAGTGCAAATACTTGATAAGTTCAAGATTGTGTAAATCTCTAATATTTGCTTAATATACAGGAACCTGTTTGAAAAAACCTGAATTGGAAATAGTGATGAATTTTCAATAGTATTACAAAATTAAAAACTATATTAAGAACTTAACTGGAGATTCAATAATTATAACTCTTATAAATTCAGGTCATACCAATTTAGCTGCTGAAGTTGTACCAGAGAAAAAAAATATGTATTTTGAAAACATATACTAAAGAAAAGATACTATGTAGCACTTAAAGCCTAAACAGACCAACTCTTTTGGACTAACTGAATTAAAAAAAACGATGTCTCTAGAGCTAGATCTATACATTAGATAGAAAGTCAGTTTGGGGCTAGCTGTAAATTCAATAAAAGTAGGAGATATTTAAAAGTAATACTCAAGTACCAAGTTAGGCTATAGCATAATAGTTGAGCACAATATTTCTAAATCTAATTCAGTAGTAATATAGGACATAGAACAAATTGAGATAGTTTTTACTATATCACTAAAGATACTTACAAGATTAGTCTCTAATTAGATATACTATAAAAAATAATAAAAAATAGCAGGTAATTGCCAATCTGGATAGTCTCTATTTGGAGATGTAGTAGTATAGATTAGATGTAACTGAAGGAGATAATATGTGAATATGATGTACTAGTACTGAATTATAAATATAAATTTACCAAATTCCTAATAAAGTTTGCTTTGACATAACAATTTAACTAAGTAAAAAAAATATAGTACTATTATATATATAATAATATAAGCTTGAATAACTTTTGATTCACTAGACCAATTTGGATGATTTAATTACCAAAATGATTCTTAGAATAACAGCTTTTTAATGAATCTAAAATCATCTAATTCTGATTGCATTACCTCAAGATTGGAAGTATTTTGTATTATATTTACTATATAGTAAATATAATACAAAATATTTTTGATCTTAGGATTATGTGATCATAATTGGATGATTTTGGATTATTTAGAAAGCTGTCATTCTAAAGATCATTTTGGTGATCAAATCATCCAAATTGGTCTGGTGAATCAAAAGTTATTCAAGTTTATATTATCTATATATAATATGTAGTTGGGTACAAATGCTATAAAATAAACACTATGAGACAAAATTGTATCTGATTGGCTACTAACCATGTGGATCTATATCACATATCGAATGCTTCAATTTCCGTTATTGCATACATCTTATATAACAACTAGTGCTTATTTTATTTATATGATTATACATATATATATCAGATAATTAATAAGCAATTCTTTATGTACAAGTCTTAGCCTAATCAGTTTTACTTCTTTTTTATTTACAAATAAAATAAACTTCTTTTTTACTTACAATTAATATAACCTTCTACAAATAAAAAACATATACTATGTTAGTGCACCATAGTAGCTTAGGGATGTTATGGTCCTACAAAGACCACGGTCCTAACTAGTTTTTTGAACCAGTTCAAGTAGTTCCCGGTCCAAGAATTTAGACCAGTTCAAATAAGTCAGTCTGCGATTTATATAATTAAATATATGCAAGATAATGTGCAGGGAACAATTACGTTCATATTTAAATTGTACTTGCGTGTTTATTTTTCATTACTAGAAGTCTATTATACTAATATCATTGCTTTGTAAAATGAACGTTATTTTACAGAGATTTGATCACAAGTGTAAAAGGTGGCTTTTTTTTTTATGTATACATAGAAATAAAAAAAAAATACCAATACTACTTTTTAAAAAATAATGTTTGAATTACGCAATCTTTTTACTGAAGCCGACTTACCAGAATTGGTTCATGTATAACTTTGATACTAAATAGAGCAATTAATGTTTTAAAACATTTCGAGATTAAAGAATTTTTATTTTATATAATAACAAGTTTTTATATAATTTCATGGGAAAAAACCCCAAAGTTTTGTAATAGCCAGTTTTAACTTAAACAAAAAAATTTTATTCACGAAATAAGAATCTCAAAACACACATTCAAGAATTGAATTTCTAAACTGTATGATTTAATCTACACAATGGGTAAAAATCAATATTAAAAAACCAGATCGTATCATTATTCTGCTCAACTAATATACAAGTATTTTGTAATTCATTATTATCCAATATAAAATAATTATCTTAAATGCATGTGATTCAACTTCTATAATTCGAATTTTTGTCCAAGAATCTAGATCGATCCTATTTCTGCTTATATTCTCACGATATCTGATGTTGTTTGTTTCAAAACTTAAAAAAAATCCAATTTCAGAAACTGAAACTTTCCAAATCATAAAATTGCATCTTTTAAAAAAATCACTGTGCTACATTTTCACGTATCAATTAGCCAATTCAAGATGAATCAAACTTGATTGTAAGAGATAAGAACATATAAAACGATGAAATAGCAGAATAAGTAATTATAAACTAAAGTTATACTGTAAAAAAAAAAAAAAAAAACCCCCAGATAAGATAAAATACAGTATATTAATCGTGATTAATATCTAAATCAAAAAACAAAAAATCACTTAGCTCAATAAATTAAAGTCCAATATGGTAATAAATAATAGAATGTATCTCTGATTTAAAAATATAGAGCTTTGCTCTTTTTTCTTACGAAAAAAAATGAACCTGATGAAAATTATAACTTTTCTGATTCTGAAAATAATGATCCGTTTGAAGATAATCTTTCAGACCTAAATAGTCAGGTTTCTCGAGAAACTAATACTAGTTTACCTCAAAGTAATAATACACCAAGAAGGCTTAAAAGGCATTCATCAGTTTGGCCTCACTTTGATACCACTACAGTTTCTCATCCTGGATTACCCATATGCCGAAGGTGTAATACTGTCTTTTCAGTCACTACTGGAGTTTTATCTTTACGAAGATATCTTAGTTCTCACAATATTAGTACGCCGGCAAGATGCCAAACTACTCTTCCTTTTCCTAGAAACCCTAGAACTGACCCATATAATGATGAAGAGCAAAAGAGGAGAGACAAAAAATTAATTACCTGGATCATCGCCGACCAACAACCATTCACCGTTATTGAGAATCAATATTTTAATAATTTCATTAATCTTGACCCCCATTATAACACCAACAAGACAAGCTGCAAAAGAATAGTTATAAATAAGTTCGAAAGTAGAAGAATTAAAATAGTTAATGATATTGTAAGAATTCCTGAAAAAATTTTTCTAACCGCCGATATGTGGATATCCCAAAATTTCGAAGTATTCCTTGGTGTTACAATTCACTACGTTGATGCAAATTGGAAAATGCGACATTTTCTTTTAGATATCATTCCATTTACCAATAGACACATAGGTATAAATATGGCAGATGCCATTAACGATCTTCTTACTGAATTTAATATTCAAGATAAAGTTCTAGCGCTTACGACAAATAACGAGTCCGCGATGATCGTTTGTGGAAGACTAATTGCACAAGAACTCCAAAATAAATTTGATAATATTGGGTTTTCACATTACTGTTGTGCGGCCCATGTGCTCAACTTAGCCGCAAAACAGAAATTAGAAATGGTAGACACCTCAGTGGAGAAAGTTCGAAGCCTAATGTCAAAAATCAAAGTATCTACCCATCTTTGCGATGATTTGCGTGGATTATATCAACTTAAGGGAATTCCATATCTCAAACCTGAATTAGACATGGACACAA